TCTACGTCCCACAGTGTGGGACAGTGCTGCAAAATCTCGACCAAACACGGCGATATATAGAATTTTCAATTCTGCTTTGGTCACTCATTTTAGCTAACAGTCATCGTCAAGGCAAACCATGTCAATGGTCAGTGACAATGCTGTCAGTGACAATGCTGTCAGTGACGAACATGTTCAGATTTTTTTTTTATTATTTAACTTTGTAAAGAAATTAAATGAAATTAAATAACTTAAGCAAAACAATTACATGGAGCCGTTAAAGTGAACAAGCATCTACGTCCTGAACTGCTTGGATAACAATAATGTGACACAGAATGCACGAAATTAAACGTTTTGTAGCTAGGTGAATCTTTGCAATTGATGAAAAAATTAATGAGATTTTGACAAATCTAGATAGAGCTGGAATTAGGGCGTAACAGTTTTTGTAAACTTGGTGATTTCTATGAATTCAAGGCACGCCTACACAAACCAACATATTCATGGGAAATCTTTTTTATTGTCGATTTGCCAGGGAGAGTCATTACTTTCAAGAAATCATCGAGAGAAGTCATTGTTTACAAAAGCTGTTACGCCCTAATTCCAGCTCTATCTAGAAATTTGAGGATCAAATTTATCAGTGACTACGTGATAAACAATTTTGTCAATATCGTGCGAAAGTCTGTTAATGACAATGACAAATCTCAGCACTAGTGCGGGATGCCGGACAAAAATAAAAACTGGTGCTTTTTCCCATTTAGACCCATAGGTGTAATGGGGAAAGTTGTAAGTGGTGATGAACACTACTATTTGCATAAATGACGTATGTTGTATAAGTAATCGCAAAAGTATCCCAACGGCCATTCTCTGTAAAATGGTGGAAAACGATGGTGTTTTTGAGGAAGTTGTTCATGGTGATCAGGATAGTAATACATGAGTTATACGTAATCACTCATGTGACTTAAACGCCAACATACTTAGAATCAAAAATCATCGTATTAATTTTATTACAAGCTAAACATACTAAGATTTTGTTTTCGTGTTCGGTAAATTTTACCGAAATCATAACAGCTGAACGTTCGGCAAAACTTTAACTTTCATTTTAAAGGCTATTGAATTTGAAAATAATTTCAAAACATATTCAACCTTGTTTAAATGATCAAATCTTGTCATTTTAGTGGAGATTCAGTTTCAAAGTAGCTGAAAAGCAATTGAATTGAATTGCATAAATTTTACCAAACAGTTCAGCTGTTCAGATTTCGGTAAAAATTACCGAAGTCGGCGATAATTTTTAAGTGTATATGTTCTACAATTGCAATTGAAATATACCTTAAGGCGTACTGAGTGAATTTTGTTTTTGTTTTTATAGAAGATAAACCACTTATTGAAAATACGTCTGTTTATGCAGCGGATTATTAAAAATCTCACAAAGTTGCAAAAAGTTGCAGCTACATTGTGTGCGGACACTTCTAAAAACAACTTTGCGCATGTTTTAGGGTGGAACTCGGAGGAACTTTTTTATGAATCGATCATCAAATTTTGAAGATTAATTTCTATGCATTTGCACTTGAATTTTCAACGTTCCAATTACCACCATATATGATCAAAACACCTGAAATGCGCTCTGGAAGTATACTTTTCTTACCTTCATTGATATTCACGATTTTACTTGAATTTATTTCTCGTAGTATTAATGTTTTGGTAGTATGTTGAAGATCAGTGAAAAATCAAGAAATTCTACTAGATACTTGCTACACTTGTTACAGTAGCTACGATGCATTCAAAAGTTTACATTGGTAAGTTTGTAGATGACTTCTGTTATGTAAACAAGTACAGAAGGCATCTGCAACCGTATCTGAAAAGTCAGTATACCTGGGAAAAAAATACTAAAAATCGATTTTTGCCCATAGGTCAACGCACTGTGCGTCCCCAAAAAGATCACAAGAGGAGATAATTAGTTAGGGTTCGTCGAATAAGGATTCATGTTGATAGCTGATGTGATCATAGTGTTGATTCAATAGATTGTTTTCCGAAATCCACACGGATAATAATTGCGATCGTTTAAAGCCTAATAAGTCAATCATGTGTCCTTATCAACTCAGGAATGCAAACAAACCTGTAGCGTGCCCCGAAAAAAAAATTGTTTTAAAAAGATAACTTGCTCACTCCCAGGTGCAATAAAAATGAAAACAATTTTACAATTCAACAGAACATTGCACATTGGGTCCTCATACTACAATCCTTAACATGTTCCAAAGCATGGATATTATTGCATTACGAGAACGGAAGGAAACGAGATTTTCATATAAAATTTTAAATCAGAAGTTACCGAAATCAACCTTTTCCTTTTAAGCAGATATTATCCTTGATTCTCCTTGAATAATAGGTCTGATTCATCATGTTTTTGTTCATTTGAGATTAGGCTGATTATCTATACCACTTACAACATACGTGCTTAAGCCCACGTAAACAACATCGTAGAGTTTAGCTACATATACGACAATTGCTTTGAATGCTAAGATTAAATCATAAATACACAGACAAACGGACGTAACTCTCAATCGTCGTCACGCATTTAGCGTTCAATTCAAATATTATTAGTTTCTCAAATCCCCCATCGGATCACTTTGACGTTTATTTACATTCTATCTAACTTGTATGCAACTTTGTTTAAGTATTGGCAAGCAAGCTTTTTTCCACGAATAACTCATGAGATGTCGTTAGTGAGTATCGTATCAGAAATATTCAGGAAAATTAATTAATGTGCTACGTCTGTTTGTCTGTGCTTGAAGCATTAAGTTGAATTCTTAGAACTAACTATACCTACGCCTAGATCATCAGTTATAAACAATGTATCCTAATTAGGAAGCATCATTCATCTTATGCATACGGCTGCTAATTAGATGCTGAAATAGAATTGAAAAGAAAACGTTCCATGTTTATTTGACACCATTTAACCTTGCAAGTCAACAACTTTATCTTTGCGTAAGACGGAAAGATAACGTGCTTTGGTGTATCATTGCTCGTTAAATTACGCTTCATTTCCTCTCTCAAAGCATATGCATCTGGCGTGTTGTTTTATATCATACTAGTAATGGCTTCATTGTGGTTAGCATATGAATCATAATTAATATCAATAACACTATAAGCTGCCTAAATACATGTATCTAGAGGAAGATCTCATGCATGTTGCATAAGTGTTTCGTTCCAGTTGCGTTAGGTTTGCGTTTGAGTAGGCAGAATATAATTTCGTGTTGTGTTTTGTTTGCCTTATTCCGAACAATACTAAATCTAATCTAATCGTAAAGTTTTAAACATTTCTAGATCTACTCTCAGCCTATGCCGGCATTTTGGATTTATTTTGATGCTTGCCAATGAATCAATTCGAATCTTGCTATACGGATAAATAATTAGAATTTGAAAGGTACACTCGTACATGAGCATCGTACCAGCATCATACTTTGCGCAGTTCCTAATGATTTTCTTGATTTGATCGAGATATTAAATTAAAAAAAGAGATTTTAAATTAAAATTCCAAAATTCCAAAATTATTAAGTTTGCTGAGTTAGAAATAGTGGTTGTAACTCCGTATATTATTTTATTGGTGCGTCCCTTAGCTCGCTCGGTAAAGGTGCAGCTATGAAGCAAGGCCATGCTGGAGGCGGCGGATTGGATTCTCGGTGGTGGGTTAGAACATTTCTCGATTTTCTTGTGCAAAAAATATAATTGGCACACAATATATACGAATACTACATTTTCAATTAACAACTGAAGAAGTGCTCGAATTAAGTATCAGGTCATTAGACCGAAATACGTTAGGCCGAAATTGAAATCCCTTTAAAAAATAAACATGAGTAGTTCTTCGAAAATTTGGGTACACCAGGATTTCATATTATTTATTTTCTATGTTTTATTATTTTGGAGTTTTTTTTTTTCTTTTAAAGTGAGCAGTTTTTTTTGAATAAATTGTTCTCTTGATTTTTTGCACTTTGATTTGTTTTCATAATTTATTCCTAGAATTTATTTTTTTAAACATGAGCAGGCTGTCAATTGTGGCATTCCAGGTTTTTATTTTATTTGTTATACCATGCATTATTTTCTAGGAAATTTTCCTTCTTTTAAAACCAGTTCCTTCGAATGAAATTATTCTTATGATTTTTAGCAATTTGAGTTTTTTTTTCATGATTTATTCTTAGGAGCGTTTATGAGTATGTTTCCTTCTCATGTTTAAATGAGTAGTTATTTCAAATGGCAGTGGGCGGAAGTGGCAAATGAGCAAGAGCACTGGTTGAGCAGAAGTGTAGCGAACCCCACACGTATCAATATATTGACGAGAAGGGAATTGTTGTCAATAATATTGATGATGTGAATACAGAATTATTGTCAATACCGATTCATTGACGTCAATATAAAATGTATTAACAATACGATTATTGTCAATAAAAGCAAACGTGTAGGGTCCACTTTAGTGGGGTAGGAGCACCAGAAGTTCCGGTTCGGTGGGAGTACCAGTCAGCTGCGACTACCAGTGGAGTGGGAACGGCACTAGAGCGAGAGTGACCACTATTTCACACTATCCCCTGGCATCCTCTAGGAGCCACCTGTGCTAATAACCAAATAAGCCAAACGTACTTCGGCATAATGACCCAGCAACCTCGAATAACACTAAGTTTAGAGCAGGTGTTAATGTCCCAATTGGGACGTAATAGCTTAGGAATATGAAGATAGTTCAATATCATGCGTGACTGGCGCAAACATTTAAAGGCTTAAAAAACAATATATGAACTAAGTTTACGAGAGTACTGAGGTTTAAAACTGACTGGACATACCAGAAATTAAACAGAATGATTGAGCGATTTCAGTGCACCTTGTAATACAATTGAAAATTTCATTACATTTGTGCACAACAAACAAAGTTGGGTCTATTGTCTGGAGATAATAAATTAGCCAGAAAATGTGCATTGCATACAAATTAATGACTTATGACTAATGAGAGATGTTTTAAAACATGAAAAAATATATACCTTAAATTACTACGGCTTAGCTTCGTCGTCTCGATTCCGCCCGTCCTAGATAGCATGAATGACGAATTATCGGGTGAGTTAAGACGACTCTTGCCACGGTTTTGATGTCCCAACATATTCCTGTTGGAGTGATGATGCATTCTTGAGTGATGACCGCGTGGTCGGTGATGACTTGTATATACATGGTTGTCCATTCTAGAGTTCACAGCTCTCAAACTGCTTTTGTATGCACGAAGTGCTTGCTGCGCTTGAGTAATGTGTCGATTTTTAACATAATGATGTTCGTGGCGCACGTGGTGTGTCTTTGGCATTATGGACGCATGTCGGCGACGATGGTTTTTTGCACTATAACTTTCGAGATCGACAGAACTCGGTGTCAAATCCAATGGAGCTGAAGTTACACCCGCCGGTGGCGACAGAAATGACTCATCGATGTCATAATAATTAATGTCACTGTCACTAATGCTCCTACTAGCCCGAACCGAACCGGCACACATTTTCGCTTTCAAAAATAAATACAGAAGTATGAAATAAAACGTGAAAATCTTCGTCGCGCCTATTGATGATCTCATTATAGAACACTTGCTTCAAAAGCGTATTGCTACACATTGAAATTTATTCCACTTTGCTGAAGAATGGCATTTGTTTTATCAGATGATAAATTTTCATTCCTTCAGGCTTCTCAAATAACACCTCTCTCTAAAGCCGATTTCTTCAATTCCTTTGTCGATCACAGTCAGCAGACACTGCACACTTTATTTTTACTTTTCCTAGTTATTCGATTCTTTTCTTCAGACCTCTCATGTGAATCCCCATCCGTCGATCAACTTGTCTGTGTTCCGTAAATGCGCTGTGTGAATGATATAAAACAATCATTCTTCAATAATATTCGGTTTTCTAATTATTTATTTTCCTTTCACACACTTTTCTCCAATCACATGCCGTTGTTATTTGATCTTGTGAAATCTAATTTGAACTCTTTTCCCATTTCTTCCTTTTTCTTCCTTTAGATTCCTTTTTGAACTAATCATTACGTGTCTCAATTTCTAGACATCGCAAGTCGATTGCTCCACTCCACTTACTACTCCCAGCAAGACTGCACACTCACAACAACCGAATGTCGAAGATCCACACTTTTCGTGAAGGTAACGAATAAAAAATGACACACGACCAGTTGCGAAGTGAGTAAAATTATTTTTTTTTATTTCGAAAAAAAAATATGCGAACGAAAAACCAACACAAAACGCAGACGCTCGAACACGATGTTTACTGCCTGATAGACAACGCTAGACTGAGAGAAGCAACGTGGTTTACTCTGAGTCATGTTCGCGCCACTGGCATGAATGAATATACAGCTTGATCTATCTCCCGAGCCAGGCAGGACCTGTGACGCAAAACAAGAGAAGAGATATTTGTAGAAAAGAGCAGCAGACTTTAATTCAAATCTCTTTGGGGGGAACCCGTTAATCATTTTATGACGATTAATCAATCATCACTACACATCGCAACAAAACTGGTTGTTGATATTTTCGGATTCTGTTAAAACAAACTTACAACCATGCAATTATCCAATCATCTGCCGATCGCTGAAACTCAATGTTCAGACATCGGTATTACAATGTTCACAGTTAATACCCATACTTTACACACGCTACTTACTCTCGCGTAAAACGTGCACGCGACGAGTTTTACATGCGGACGATTCATCAACCCAAGGAGACGTCCGATCATTTAGATGTTCGTTGCAATAAATCGCCAGCGTCGACTCCTGCAATTTTCTCTTTGGTTGCAGGATGAACAATTCTCCCGCTCTCCCAGAATCCTTCCCGCGGAGATCTCGCAGTGGTCGCACAACGACTTCGAGGAAATGTGTAAAAAGCGGCATGAACCGTCCATGAAAGAAAACTGAAAACAAACTCGAATAAATACCGTGTAGCGAAAGCATTATTTCATTAAAGGGTAAAGGCACCTCATACGAACCACTTTCCGCAATAATTCCAATTAACACTCCGAACACGATCCCTGCGGTTAAATGTGTAACGGCAAATTGACAATGTTGGAAACATCATTACTCAGCCATTTATCAATTGAAAAAAATATATAATTCGTTAGTTTTGCAGCAAATAATGCCAAAAGGAACAATGAAAAACGTTAATATATAAACGAACCATGCAACTCATCGGTGCATTTTGTGCAGCTGAATTTCGCAAAGCAAAACTAATAGGCAAATAATCTCACACATGAGATTTGAGTTTTCTCGAACACTAGCACAGTTGAATGAAAATTGCGATGAAATCTTGTGAGAACATGTAGCTTGAAACAACAATACATTAATCTAAATATGTCATGAATAGTTAGCCACACGAATAAGTCGTTAATCTACAACTGAAATCACACGCGAATACATCATTAGTCACTTAGAACAGAACATTAATCGGACATCGACAGCTATCGGTCATCTGCTATCCGATTGACCCAACAAAGCATACACAACATCTTAACCTTAAACGAAGAGAGATGCGAAGGCCAAGAAGTTCAGTTCACATTTGCTTTAATTTTTAAAATGCACATGAGTGGCACGTAAAAGCCTTAAGGGCACAAAAAAAAACGAACGGCACAAAAAAAAACAGGAAAAAATTCTCATCATAAAATCAACCTTTCGCAGACGACCGACACCGAAACATAACACAGCCTCCAGTTGAGACTATTGGGAGTGCATTGACGTAGTCCAAGCACGTTATACGAGTGAACAACTCGATGCCAACATTTCATTGGGGAGAAACTGCTTTTGTAAACAATTATTTCAACTGCCGATTTCTTGCAAATAAAAACTCACTCCTGCAAACTAACAACACCAGCTGGTAGAGGAAACAGGAAATATTCTTCTAAATTATGGTATACTTAATTTACATGTGTGAGCTGTTATTCACGAGAAATCGACGGCTAAAGTTTACAAAAGTAGTATCGCTCTTTTGAAATGTTGATGAACAACTATTGCTGCGCTTCTGTGCTCCTTCGGTTATGAGGGAAAAAGGAATAAAAAAGAATGGAACATAATCATGAATGAATAAGAATGGAATGCAATGTTCGTGATGTTGAGGAAACAAAATTTATCGAAATTCGTTACACCAAACATAACCGGAACAAATACGTTTTGTGGGAACAAGCATTTACCTCTTTTGGACGCCACATTCGGAGAGGCTTTACGTCATATTTTGAGTGGAACATTTAGATTATGCTGTAATGGACCGAATATCGGACGGTTCGTTTCTAATAAATTTAGTCTAAACTTTGCAATATAATAAATATTTATATAGGGGACGATAGGGGAAGACTGCTGTTAACGACTTGTAGAAAAGTGAACTAACGATTATTGTCTAATTATTTAGTTGAACACATTTTAGGTCATCCGTAACTAGTCCGGGGGAGATTTGAACTTCAGTCTTTTAACGTGAGAAGCATCTTTCCTTTATTTAACGTTGGTCTCTGTTCCACAATCTAGTGCCAATCACCGACGGACATCGATTGCCATCCATTGACGGCAATCGAATGTGCAGGAAGGCAGCTTCCACACCTGCATAGGATATCGCACCCATTCAAACACACCTGGGCCGGGACCAACGGCTTTACTTCCCTTCCGAAGGAAGACGTGACCAGAGATTTTTATGCCTCAGAAAAATCCCACCGACCTCGGCTGGGATTGCACCCAGAACCATTGGGGTGAGAAAGCAGTCACGCTTACCACTACACCACCGGCGCCGGCGTGAGAAGCATGGATGTTAACCATTTACGCCAGCCCCGTATTCAGTTAAATATTATGAATGCAAAATCAGTAATCAAATTGATTTCATTGATGGCAGCATTAGTTTTCCGTTTGATTCAACAGTGTAAAATTTTGCTCTCATTTTTGATGTGTTAACCGTTAAGTCAACCAAAATTAGATCAACTGGAGTATTCAAATTATGTTACATCATAACAGCAAATTTTTATCTCAATTTAATTCCAGCTTTGCTCGGGTTATACCTCAAGGTTGCTACTGAATGCTGTAAATAACAAAAACTCGTTCCTCTTCAGGCTTATTCTAAAACATTTGTAAATGTTATAATAATGATTTCAGAATACGGGGTCCCGGGGGATCCACTGAATGATCATTGATCACCGTAAAAGTGGACAATTCTTGAAACTAGGTTCTGGTTTTATATGAAAGTTTCTGTTTCTTACAATGATGGTAAGAAGATCAAGGCCTTTTTTTTTAATTATTTCACTATGCGGCGGGACACTAGCGATAATTAAAAAAATTACCTGTTATGTGAAATACCACCCATTTAGGAAGTAACGCCTTTTTTTTTGCTAACTGCTTATTTCACAATTTTCTCACTTCACCGCGATATAGCACATACTGAAAGTTTTTCATATATATCATGCTAGTACATACTGAAAGTTTTGAAAAAACTTTCAGTATGTGCCATATCTCGAAACCCTGACCATCTAGAAAGTGGCCGTCTTTGGCAAAGTTGATCAGGTGACTAAGGCTTTCCTCGCCGTGTAGTGTGTAGTGGGAAAATTGTGAAGTAATCTGTCTCCCATCCAATCACCTGAACAAATCTCTTAGAACGAGGACAACAATGTCTTAGATCTTCTTAATAAAAAAGATTTTCAGCCTCGGGCAACTTCGTAGACGATCATGAAGTCTACATGCACACTAGCGTCGCGTAGTAGAGAGTTCTGAACTAATCTGCTCGCAATTAAAAAGATCTTAGTATGTTGAACAACTTTCCCGAACCGGAAACTTCCTGTATAGTTAAGATCTCAGGATATATTTTATACAGGAAATTGACTTACACATTGGCGTATAGTGAGAAATTTCCGAATAACTATTCTCTAACCAATCGACCACTGTGGAACTTTTCCGAAGACAGTGACTGTCTATAATGACAGGATCATATGATATTCCATGTGGCCGTCTTACCCGCATGATTTTTTCATGCATTATTTTGTGATAAAATATTATCAAATGAAAAGCAAATTTCCTGAAAATCAATCTAAAGGGGCTGTTCATAAAGTACGTAGAATGTTTTTTGGGATTCAAGACCCCCCTTACCCTGCAACAATAGTCCATATATAAAAATTAAATTTGTATGGACCGAAGACATTCTTCAACAAGCCACCATGCCTACCAGCGCTTATGTGAAATTTTGAGCATAGTGGGAAGTGTCTGAATTTTGAGCTTTTGCTATATAAGTATACATACCTATAGTTACTATATTTATGAAGTCTGGCGATAGAATCAGCTTTTGCGAGCAAAACATCGGAAACTCTTTTCTCGTGACTCAAGGCTCGCCTACGCAAATTAACACCATCATCGGATTGGGGAAAGTTTCCCCTACCCACTGATGCTGTTAATTTGCGTACGCTTGACGAGGAAAGAACTATTAAAGTTTTTATTATAAAAGTTCATAGTACCTTTTCCATTGTTGGTCTACAATATACTGAATTGGTTCCGCTTTTTTTTCGGTTTGCACTTTCCGGAGTATTTTGGAAACAACGATCATTTGTGACAGCTGTCAAACCTTGCCGCTACCGTTCTGCTTCTGTATACATTGCGTTTGGGCCTTTAGAATCATTGCTGCCAAAATATAAGCTTGTTTAAGCAGTTTTAACAGAGTAGTAAACAAATAATCGTTTTTCAATACTTTTGGAAAAATCGAAGCTTGCCAGAGTATATCTTACATGAGCATGAGCATTATTGACCACCCACGATTACTACCCTGTCATTTTCAGATCACCTGCAATTACAAAGAGAACCAACAGATGGTGATTGGCACTAACATTCATCCTCAATGTGTAAAAACTGGTGATCTCATACTTTATAATGGGCAATACCAGCGCTGGCCGCTCCAAGTACAGGTCAATCATGAAAAGGGTAAGAACGTGTTACTCAAAATTACAAAAAGAAAAAATACTTTGTATATTTTTCCACTAAAGACTTTTCTCAACAACTTTGTCTCATACGACATTTCGATCAGAAGTGACGTGTTCGTGCTTCAAATGATTGAAAATGTTAAAGATGGCAGATTTTGTACAAAAAGATGAATAAATAATTGCCTATAACAAACAACTATGCAAAGTTGGACCTGCTCATATTACAGCACCACGTCGATTCGAGTGATCGAATTGTTGTTATTATCATTCAGATCCGGTGACAACAACGACGATAACAGTCCGCAAAATATGATGAGTGAGCGACTTGACATTAAAACTCTTTAATGCGAAGGAGCCTGGAATTTCAAAAATGGTCACCCCATGCTCCTCATATTATAGCAAAAATGAAAATTATATGGAA